TCAAGAGTTTCAGAGTAAATACGAAAAAAATGTAATAAAATTCTATAAAAATTTCAACTACCAGACTAAAAGTATAGATTAAAATATATTTTCTGACAATATTACATCTGAAGAATTTGAAAAATAGGTCGTAACTGTCAGATGTGACGTTCACAATTTTTTAGAACAAACACAAAATAAATTTTAAAAAATATGAAAATATTTTATGAAATCCTTCTTTTGAGTTCTAATACGCACTAGATAATGTCAAATCTATCAAAAGAGTAATCTAACACCTATTAAGTAATGACAACTTGCATCTATGTAAAACATAATAATAAAGGCGAAAAAATGCTGATATCCCTGATCTAGCTGATTAATGTATGAATTATCTGCTATGATGATTTCAGTTTTTAAAGAGCATTTTGCCAGGCTCAGATACAGTTCAAAGATATTTTCTTAAGCCTGTTGCTTCTCATCACCACGAAAAAGTGACTTTCGTTGCAAATAATCCACTTTTGTAGTAACATTTTCGTATTTGCTTTGTAACTCTTAATCTCATGCACCAATAAAGTTATGACCATCACAACTTTTGTTCCATTAAACGAGATCTATCTAAGAACACTAATATATTATTCATGGACACCGATAGTCAGATTTGTACAGGGTGTATAAAAATTATTAGTCACCACTTCGTTAGCTAATTCTCCTGTTCATGTTCGGCAAAAATCACCCCCAATATGGCCCCACAAAATTTGTCAAAATTTTTTATTGCGCAAAAAATCTACTCATTGAGAGAATCAAAAGTCTCAGAGGAACCATAGGTCGCAAACGTGTCCTTATAGGTAACCCAAAACGTTAAATTAACAAGTTAAAGAAATGTTAGAAAAATTATGGATTATCTTGTGACGTTCAATTTATTGAGCTTCTCTCATCAATATTTGTGACAAAATCACATATCCTAATTATTTTTAACTTCATGATTTTTTTCACTTATAAGGACACACATACGGCCTATTAATCCTTTCAATGAGTAGATCTTTTTCATGCAATAAAAATTTTGACAAATTTTGTTGGCCCATGTTAGGGATGATCTTTGCCGAACATGAACAGAAGAATTAGCTGACGAAGTGGCAACTAATAATTTTTATACACCCTGTACATTCTCCTTTAAGGACTAAGGATTAATTCAATGTTGTTTCTTTGGTATATGTCATCAATGCGGGCATCTTTGATTGGTAGGAATCTAAGCTCGTTTCTTATTAAAATGGCTACTCCACCAACTCGTGGTTAGGTCCACCATATTACGGTTATAAGTAAATAATTTGTGATAAAGAAAAATTGGATTTGTTATCCAGTATTCTTGTTTCGCATAGAATAGCAATATTAATATTTAATTCATACAGAAGAAAGGTGATACGTAAAATGCTTTTTGGTAGAAAATGACAATTCCTCGGAGTATATTAGAAAGTCTCATAAGTAGTATAAAAATATTATAAAATATTATAATAAAAGCTTAAACAAGATCAGCCTTATTGAGAAAAGTGAAACCTATTTCAATAAAAAATAATAAAATTCTTAATTCGATCAATAACTGGCTTAAGTTACTAATATTCCTTTATTAATTAATAACACATTAATTAAAAATACAACGTTGCGACCATTAAATTTAGTCTTTTTCAAGTGTTGTTAATAAATCATAAATTACAAATAATCGTTTTACTAAACGAATTGAATTTAACATGTGATTAGGATCATATAGTCCAACACTGATCGTTGTGTTTTAATTTATAAATGAATATTAGTAACTTAAGCCAGTTATTGGTTAAATTAAAAATTTTATTATTTTTTATTTTTATTTTCACTGGCGATTAAATATTAATTCTCATCACTATTTTAGATAAGATGTGTCGGTAAATTGGTTTAATTGAGTTAATTTTTTTTTATACTCGGATATCCAATTTATTAGGATTTCTGATTGTGACTTTTTTAAAGAGAGGTTATTATCTTAACTAAAATAAAATAAAAATTGTATATAGATAGTAGTATTATTGTCAGAAATAAGTCAGTTGGAATTACTATTCGAAAAGAAATTATTAGTTTAGTTGTAATATATATTAAGTTGGTCAATATTAACAAATTCTTTTGCGTTGCAATATACGAGCCTTTTGTTTATATTTTTCATGTTTATTATGTTGTAATAATTATTGTTATTTTTCCTTATTATAATTAGATTTAGAATCTTTATTAAACGAGGATGATGAAGTATGGGAGAAGTGAGAAAGAGGAGGAGAGGTTGCCCACAAAATTATGATCAAAGAAGCTAATGGAGGCAGAAATGGGTTCCAAGCTGTTATCCTCCATCAACGATCCTTTTCTGATTTCCTTTAATATTATTGGAGAGAAAAGATGGAAAAGTATTGTAAATAGGGATGATGCGGTAAATAGGAATTAATGAAATAGCGTGGTAGTTAACAGAGAATTTAGAAGGAGATGATAATTGAGGTGGAAGGAGGGAAAGGTAATTTTTTGGACTACATGAGCATAAGAGGATTTGTTATTATGATTAGAGAGTTGCGGAAAGAATTCACCGAGATAGAGGGATATCCCATACAGAAAACGAGGCCACACTGAAGTGAGGTTGCTCAATGTCGGTGTGTCTGTGTGTGGAGTGTGATTTCCACACCATCGACATTGAGCAACCTCACTTCAGTGTGAGAGATATTGTGAAAGGCCATAGTTTGATTAATTTTTATTTAAAGAAAATGGGACAGGAAGGGGTCTTATAGTCCAACTCTTTGAGTTTGAATCTTCTGCAGTTAATGCAAAAAAGAATTTGAACTGTGCATTCATCTTCAATGTAAGAACTAGTAGCCTTACCGCATCTGACACATATAATATTACTGTTTGCTGAACGACTTTATTGTTTTGTTTCTTTTTATATCTATTTACACGGTTTCGACTCCATGTTTAGCTCAATATCACATATCGATGATGACGACCATCCAATCGTAGCCAAACTTTTATAATAGAATCTCTAGTGGAAAGTCTTTATAGAAAGAATCTAAACATCGCATGCTTGGCTATCATATTCAATCAAATAATAAAAATGCTTAATCTATATTACTTTAAAAATGGACAATTGCACAATTTCTTCAAGTTTCTTAATAGCTTCCACGTATACAGGGTGTCTCTAAAGTCTGACCTGGGATCTTTATTTTAAAAACGGCTTTAGATACGAAAAAATATTTCAAACAAAAAAGTTGTTCAAACAAAAGTTGTAGAGTTTTGAGGAGGACATTAGATAGTGTTATTGATTTGACCTTGAATAGTCATTTGAAAGTCACGTAAAAGTCACCTTCAACTTCTTAAATGAAATTACCTATTTTTACAAATTTGTAGGTTTTCTCAGAACTTTCCAAAACCTTATAATAGAGTATTTTTTATAAAGTACTTTTTGAGTTATAAAGGTTTGAAGTTAACAATTTTTTACATAAAATGTAAAATATCTTATAAAATATTCAGTTTTCAGTAATTATATCTTAATATTTTTTTGCACGGAATAATGAGACCAATCAATTGATATAAAGATAATTATAAAATAGATAATTGTTTTAAAAAAGTATTTAATACACAGAGTGATCCTGTAATAGTTAGTCGAAATCAGGAATTGTATTGAGTTCGTCATAAGAATAAAAAAAATTCCCATAAACGTTAGTCCAAAAACGCATTCTTCAAGAATTACGACTTATTTAATTATCAATTTCGAAAAAATTGCGCGGGCAAAGCAAAGCGGAAATATTTCACAAATTGAAAGTACCAATCCGCAGTCAACAATTCATTTGGCGAGTCCCTTCTTAGAGGGTCCCTAGCGTAAGTCGTGTCTTTCTAACACGTGAGTTGATGGGGATGGTTCCCCTCATTACTCTCCTCCCCACTCTCTGTGGTGTGCGAAAGAGAGAGCATGACTTAAGATTCTTGCACAATGCCAGGGCCAGGCAACAGGCAATAGGAATAAGAAATAGAAAATATCAACCAATCGGAAAAGGAGATAGATATTATTCTCTGCTTTTATTGGTGGATATTTTCTATTTCTTATTCCTATTGCCTGTTGCTTGGCATTGTGCAAGGAGCTATATGCACTGTCTATCCTTCAGTCTGTGCTTCACATAAACCATAAGAACGCGCAGTCTATCTTTTAAGTCTATGGTAATTCTAGAGCGTCTAGCAAATGCATAACATTGGGCTATTCCCAGTGAGAAATGATGATCGAATCGACGTCAATTCGTTGTCGGTTCGATGTCAAATTCATCGAATCGATGTCGAATCGATGACGATTCGACCAATCATTTCTCACTGGGTTTTTCCTCGTCGCGCGCTTATATTCAAACCAATTTTTTAAAATTAATTTTTAAAATTATTGTTATTTATTGTAAAGATCAGAAAATTATAGACAATTTTTCTGCTCCCCAGCCAGAAATGATAAATAAATCGACGTCGAATCAACGTTAAATTGATGTCGAATCGATGCCGAATTGGTCGAATCAATATCGATTCGACGTCTTTTTGATCGATCATTTCCCAGTAAGCAAAAAATCATTGCTACAGCGTTATTTTTGTTGGCAAGTATATAGTTTTTAACATTGTATGCAACATCATTATGAACAAACTTTGACATCGATTTAGAGATTTCGATAATATTAAAATTAACGTTTTTAAAATATTTTATTAATATTTTGAGCAATATATGTTATTAAATAATATTTTTAAAACATTTATAAAACATCAGTTAAAATATTTTTTTAGAATATTTATTAATAATATTTAAAACATATATTTATAAAACATTATATCATAACGTTTAGAAAATTTATAATATATAAAATCAACATTATAAAATGTTGATTAAATATTTCTTGCTTACTGGGTTCTGACTGGATCGGTTTAATTCGCTTTACTTACACACAGAATGTGCGGCGATTATTACCGGACACCTTGTATATTTTATATATTTGAAACAGGATATTTCCGTGGCCTTGCGCCGCTATGCTACTTCGCGGATTGGTCAGAGACGCTTCACCGGGCGATGTGGATAGGGAGTCATGTGATTCTGCAGTTGCGATAACGGAAGAAACGTGCATTGTTTCGCCATCGAAGGATCAAAATAGCGGAACCATTCATCAAGAATTGGCTAGACGTATCTCTAGCTCCGAAAGAAAACCTTAAACTTTTTCGTTCCGCTTTAGTTTTAATGTTAAAATATAAAAAATGTGAAAGATATAAATAAATGTTTAAAATAATTGTTGTCAAGTGCACTTTTATTTTGTGTTGCAAATTAAGTATTTTAGTGTATTAATTTTTAATTTTTTATATTTTGATCTTACAAGTTATATTTTATCGGTTAAAAAATCAATATTACGAATGATTTAATTCAAACGTTAAAAGCTTCCATATACATTGATTTTGATTATATCGGATTACTTCAAAATCGTATCAATCGATCTTGAAATATCTTGCTTTGCACAAATTTGAAATGATTTTCATCATTAGCAGATTAATAGTTTGTTATAAAAAATAGGAAAACACATGTAAATATGTTTACCTCTTAGCAATGTAACATCAGTTTTAGAAAATATATAGTAATTTCATAATATTTTAAATGTAATTTAACAACAAAATTATTAATTGATATACTTAAAATTATTTGTGCGATTGCGTGACATTTTATTTTTACTCTAAAATATAGTAAAATAATAGATATATAGTATATAGTGTTAGAAAAATGTGATACTGAACCTGTAAGTAATGTCAGTATTAGATATAAGAATATAAAAATATAAAATATAAGATATATACGAATATAAGAATAATATATAAGAATAATATAATCAAATATTTTTAATATCGTCATATTTTAATATTTTTTCCTGCGTTATTCCGTCACGGTTTCACATTTGTGATCAGATGATCATAACACTATAAAGTGAGAAAGCGAATAAAAGAACAAATTATGTATATTTTCAGTTTTATATAATATACAAACCGTATGTGTTCACACATATACATCCTATACATATATTAATCTGTTCGTTTTGCTCGCTAAAATTATTTGCGCTTGATATGAAATAAATATACATATATTCCTTGAAGAAAAGAGAGGAAGAGAGAGAGAGAGAGAGAGAGAGAGAGCGCAAAAAATTTACATAATTGTAGAAATTACAAATAAAACGAACAAATCTAATGCAATTAGAATAAAAATTAAGTAAATGTATTAAAAATAAAAAAAATATTTGATTTTTATCTGTTAAAAATATTAGATTTAATTTTATATTAAAGTGAGACTATTTCTAATTTTTACATATAAAACTGCAGAAATGTGATATCATAATGTTCATTAAAATTATTGATAATTCTATTGAATTTGTAAAGATAATTATTTTTTTGTTGTTGTCTTAATTATAGAAGATATTTGGATTATAAGAATAAATAGTATGATTACGTGTCAAACAATATACAGGGTGTCCCATAATTCGCGAACCACCGCGAATGGGCAGATAGAGCGTGTTAAACTGAACAGAAAAGTCCTGTATCATTTTGTGATATTCGCAATAATTATTGAGTTATTTATTAAAATATCTAAACGAATAAGCAGGTAGAAAGCATTATTTGATCGAGAGGCGGTGTCATGCAGCGAGCGGCGACCAATGTAGTGGCGCCGAAAAGTAAGATGATACTTTTGATACTAAGCAGTACATGCACATCGAGTCCGGCCTACCACTTTCTACCCGCTCATTCGTTTAGATATTTTAGTTAATAGCTCAATAATTATTGCGAATATCGCAAAATGATACAGGACTTTTCTATTAAGTTTAACACGCTCTATCTGCCCATTTGCGGTGGTTCGCCAATTATGGGACACCCTGTATACATCAAGAGACACGGTATAGTGTCTCGCGCCTAGTTAAAGACGTAGCCGACTCCTGCTTTAGAAGCGAGGCACCGTGTATCTTCACGCGAATCGGACAGTTGAGTCTATTATAAATTTCTAATGCTCAATAACGGCTGAAGCAATCGATTTTATACTAGACTTAATCGATAAATTGAGTTCGAATTATATAATAAAAGTGTCTTTTATTTTTGCTCTACGTGATTTGTAAGCAGAGATATCATAATGCAAAGTCTAAATATGAAAAATTTCTTTCAAGAAACGTTCCCGTTATCATCGTTCACGCATACATAGTAGTATCGTGCTACACATATTCACACGTATACGATACATGCATACACGTATATCACGTAAACACACATGCAATAGATACATATAGTGGTAATCTTGTACAACTTTCACGTTGTACAATAGATGGCGCTAGTCCTCTATGATATTAGCAGCATGAGGGATTATGTACCCAGTAAACAGTAAAAAATATTTAATCAATATTTTAAAATGTTGATTTTATATAAATTTTCTAAACGTTATGATATAATGTTTTATAAATATGTTTAAAATATTTTAATAAGGGTATTAATAAACATTAAAAAATATTTTAATTAATGTTTTATTAAATGTTTTAAAAATATTATTTAATAACATATTGCTCGCAAAATATTAATAAAATATTTTAAAAACGTTAGTCAAAATGTTTCCTAAATGTTATTAATATGTTTATTATAATATTTAAAAAATATTACTCTCTTAATATAATACACAACAATAACAATTGACATTGCTTTCAAAATATTAATAAAATATTTTAAAAACGTTAGTCATAATGTTATTTAAATGTTATTAATACGTTTATTAGAATATTTTATTGGAAAGCATGTTTTTCGATTTCGGACACTCGTGTACCTCGTGTCTCGTACCAGTGTGCTACGTGCTCCCACGATATCTCAGTATTTTCAAGATATTATAGTGAATTTTTACGAATTATTACAGCGCTGCATGAAAGTAAAGAAAGTGTTTTTTGGTGTTAGTAGCATGTATTATAATCTTGTAAGTATAAAAAGATAGTTGTCGATATTTTTAATTACCGAAGGATGAATAACGTTATTCATGGTTGTCTTATAGTATTATGTAAGGAATTTTTTGAAGCAGCGATTTTCCAATAGCTACACTACTGCTCCAGATCCCCACTTGGTCTTCGGCTCTACTCTCACCGATCGACGGTTTTCGCGCCTCGGCGAGAGAATACGGAGAGAGCGGATCGATATCGACACACTTGATTTTTGCTTCAGTAAAGCAATTGAGATATTAACCGGGAATTAGATTGCAAGATCGCGTTTCGGGAACTTTGTTTACTTTTGGCTAATACTTCGCATTTGTTCCGGATATTTCGAACCAATTGTTAGATTTTGAAATCATTGTCTTTATATCTAATTTGTACTTCTTTTCTTTTTTCTTATAAAACGTTATCAGTATCGACTAAGTTGAGTCAAATACTAATTACACATCAAATATTAAATTCAACTCGTTGCTTTCTTTGATAGTAAACCTTTTCAATCTAATTTATCCTGATTCGAGAATAATATTATAAAATATTCCTTACGGTAGTATAAATTTCAAAAGTGGGATTCGAGGGCTACGTGTCTTTGGATTATTGTAATTCGCGTTCCGTTAGATCGCATTAAATATTTCATATCTCAGTTGTTTGAACTGTTCGCGCATTCACACCTTGTCTCCTAGTCACTGGTCGACAATTTAAGTGAATAAGAAAAGGAACCGATTGGTAAAAAGTTTGAAAAATTATCGGTCAGTGATTTATAGTGGACACGAGAGTACAGAAGAGCCAAGCTGAACAAATGGAGCGAGAGAGGCTGGAACAATTGTCGTTAGAAGAACTGAAGGAAGAGGCGATTTGATTAAAATTATCCGCCTTAGCGAACAGGGATCAACTAATCGACATTCTTTGGACCTACTATGAGCGCAGAAACTCCTTAGAGGAGCTGGCACAAACGAAAAGTCAGCGAACAAAGGCGTCTACATCAAAATCCGTGCAAAGTAGTACGGTGGTTAACCCTGGTGCGGGTATCGCTCCCACTATCTCATCGATCACTGCAGAATCAATCAATATGTGCTTGGAGCAACAATGATTTATGATGGAAGAGATAAGGATTCTCTCACAGCAAGGCCCTTTAAATACTCCAAACTCCTTGCAGGAACGAGACAACCCGGAACCAGCACGATCTCCAGTCATCAGCTCCGCATCACCAGCTCAAACGATTAATTTACTGGCCCTACAGATCCCGGAATTTGGAGAGACAAAAGAGGAGAACATCCAAATGTGGATTTCAAGGGTGGACAAGTCGCCCAGATTCACCGAACGACGTTACCCTACTTGCGGTCTCGAGCAAATTGGTAAAGATAACGAAGAGATGGTACTATCTACAAGCAGGCGACGTTTTGGAATCGTGGGTACGACTCAAACAAGAGATATCCAGAATGATCGATCGTAAAATCTCGTTCACGGTGGCCATGCAAAAGATCGAAACAAGGCGCTGGGCAAAGAATCCTTCGACTAATACTCGATGGATAAAATAGCGCTAATACATTGATTAAATTTGCCCGTCAGCGATGTCATTAGCCTGCTAATTGGCGGAATCCAGCAGGAATCATTGACGGCTGCGGCACTGACATTGCCCTCATATACGCTGAACAAGTTCTTGGAAGCCATGCAGAGAATTATAGCTGGCATGGAACCTGAGAAGAAAATTCAGAGTCAGCAAAAACCGGCAAAAATCATGGAATCACGTGCAAAACCTGCGGGAAGAAGGAACACTCGCAGCAGGAGTGCAGGAGCGGCGAGAAAACTTACAAATACTGTAAGGGCACCGGTCATTGGAAGGCAGACTGTCTCCAGCTGAAGCGGAAGGACCAAGCAGCGACGGCGCCTATCACGTCCCCGATGGCGAAGACACCGCAATCAGCGCAGACGATTCATAGTCGTCTCTGTAGTTGGCTACGGTCTTGGAGACCCAAAGACGAGGAGAAATGTACAGATAAGTTACATTTAGACGGTCCTATAATTAAAATAAGTAGTTTGAATATTGCATGTTCGCTTAACGCGTTAATTAACACCGGGAGTCCGGCTTTGTTTATTGCACTTGGTAATTTAAGAAAATTTGCTGACGTAACTAAAGAAGACTTAGAGCCAGTTGACTGTAAATTTCATGCAATATAAAGAATTCAAGATAAAGTCGAACATTTGCTTTGAAAAATTTGGAGAAAAATCATTTGAAATAATGTTGTATGTTGTCGGTCCAGATTTCGCGGAAATCGATATTATAATTGGCGATCGCGATTTATTTGAAAAATATCAACTAACGTTGATATACCGTGCAAATAAGCCAACCCCAACTTTCGCTTAGTTATTATTCAATTCCGACGTTTGTTATACCGATATCACAACGGAAACTATTAGCTGATAACGATTAGCAAAATAGATTGTGATTTGAACGCGAAATCTGAATTAAAAGAAATAATTCTCGGATATGAATTGTTGCAAGTACCGGTAGTCGAGGATGACTACACGGTGTCAGTAAATTTAAAAGATTTCTCAACTTATGCTTACGCGCCAAGAAAATTCCCGTATCAGGAAAGGTTGCAGATTCAAAAAATTACTGACGATCTTTTGTCTCGCGGAATAATTAAAGAGAGCATTTTGC